GTGTAAAATTCAAATGGAGATTCGTTCTCCTGTTTGCATTCTGTCATCTCAATGTTAAGCGTATAAATATCCCTTTTATCAGCGTAAGCATTGAGAAGTGCTAGTTTTAAGTCATTCCAATTATTTATTATACAAGATGAAATATTTATAGCGGCTTCGCCTTTAATTTTTGCTAAGATGCTAGACATCAAATATTCATTTTGAAAGTCTGTTTGATCAGCAGTGTTGTAAAATTTTTTTACTAATTTTTCACTTATTTCTATAAACCTTGGTAAAAGTTCGGTTTGTCCGTTAAATTCTGGTATCATATTTAGATACTCTTGTTTTAGAACAGGTAATACATTTGTACCAGGTTCAGTCATGTTTGTTGAATTATTTTGACTGTTAAAATTAAAATTTGTTAATTGGAACCTAAGACGATTTAGTGTGGGTGAGAATGAATCAGAATCTTCGGAGTTTTCTGAATTATATTCAAGTTGACCTCTATAAGACATTCGTGTACTTACAGTAACAGCATCCGGATATCCATGTAGTTTTTGGTCCCAAAAAGTGTGCTGATATTCTCTCAGAACTGCTTTTTGCTTCTCGCTAGACTACTCTCCCTTTCACCTAGCTGGACACTTCTACACTTTGCTCGGAACAGTTTCGTAACTCGCGATTAAGTCACCAAAAGTCCGAATTTTGTTTGGATGGTCAATAAATCGTTGAAACGAACCGATATTATGTTCCTTAATACCGATTGACCAATCCTACCGACTGCGCCACTTAAATTTCCGATTACTGTTTCGGTCTTTTTAAAAAATTATTTTTAAAATTAAATTTTATTGTTGAATGACAATTACAGTGTCAGATTCTAATGCAGACTGATTTAAACGGCTATTGCCGTCCACTTGTCCAAAATTGATGACACGGCATTCCTAGGCTGTCCAGCTCATGTTAGCCATGTCGATGCTCCCATTTCCTTAGCTGTACAGGTAGTTGACCCTATATAACTATATTTTTATAAAAATACACTATAAACATGGAGAAGAAATGCTGTCGGATGGAATATCAGTTATAAAGTAAAAAGTGGCTATTATATTTGTTGCGTTTCAAAATTGGGTTAAGATATTTACGAAACATCAATTTTTTTATAAAAGTTTAACACGAAAACGAAGCATTGTCTTAAAATCACTGTCTGTTAAATTTATTATACATACTTAATTAACACCCTGTATAACATTATCTAATTAATTACTAGAAGAATTCTATGCTGTTTAGGAAATGAGTTTCATAGAAACCGTTGTTATTATTATGTTATATCGTAAGATCATATTAGACGCAAGGACAAATTCTGTTAGTTGAAATAGGCATAGACCTTGGTTAACTGAAACAACCCTGTCAGCGAAATAACGACTGGTATGTCCGGCCTGTGCCGATATGAACCACACTTTTCCACGCTGTCGTGACAAATATAGTCGCAATTCAATTATTTTTCCAATTTTGTTAAATTCCTGAATTAATTATTATTATCATATAATCAACGAGTTTGCCTGTGTGTGTTTTTGTTTTAGTTCTCATATTAGCCCATATATTTTATAGTGTGTGGTGCTTTTTGTGCGTGAATTTGGATAAAAAAGGTAAGTCTTTAAACTATAATAAATGTAAAGTAATTACTTTTAACCATAGAGAGAATATTTGGTTGTTGAATTATTTTATTCAAAAGATTAAATGTTTTTTGTGTAAAGATAGGTATAGGCTTCATAGAAAAACTGATAAAATTTTCTTTAAAATAAGAGGTTGTAAAGTATTTTTGAATGAAAATTGACTGATATATGGCTGCTCAAATTTTTCGTCTCATACATTTTAATTCTCATTTTTGCAAAAAGGAAGGAAATAAGGCGTTCAAGGATTTTTATCACATGATTTGTTTAAGGGCCATTAAAAATAAAAAACCGCGGGGTGCTATTAAACTAGAGGGTTGAAATTGACGATAGGAGTGAAAATGCACTTTTGTAGTTTTTTTAATTATAGCACGAAAACGAAGCAAAGTTTTGGTATAGTTCATAGGAAAAATTTTGTAGAGAATTGAATTTCTCATCGAAATTATGTACTTATTACAGAATAAAATTTTTGTTTGTCTTTAAAATGCGGTTTGCATTGGAACTGGCACTTGTACAGGGTGCCCAGAAAATTAGTAAATATAAAAATCTTTCAAGAATAAACTGCCTTTATTTTTAACAGTACACAAAATATGTTATTAAAGAAAGTTGTTTTAGAATTGAAATTTATTATTAAAGTACAGTTTTGATGTAGGACAAAATTTTTTTCTATATTTAATTTTTCATAAAAGAATTTTTGGTGCAAGTATTGGGATCACACCAAAAAAATTTATATTTATTCTTCCAAAACAGTTTTTTATCGGCACAGCTTTCAGCCGGCTACGTCACATCGGCTGACGTCTGCGCGGTAGAGGTTAATAACCATTCGTGCCAACTAGAAGTATTATTTATGTATGGATCTATTATTAGTAGTAGGGTTGATGATTTCTTCTGATACAACGAGTGGTTATTTACTATAAGTAATATTTTAGATAATAATCATCGATCACGTATTTACTATAAAAGGTTTTGTTAACATATTTCTAACTATAAAACAAACTGCTTCAGATCTGTTTTCTATTGGTTCAGACCTGTTTTTTAGCATAAGCTGTAACCTGATATATTATTTCCTTTATATTTGCAGTGTTAGTAAAAATTGCAACTTGACTAGTGTTATTAGCTTATTGGAATGCAGGAAGTTACCAAGGTTATCAAAAATAAAAGACGTGTTACTTAATTTTTTAATTTATTACTTATATCAGACAGTACATTAGTTTGATAAAAGTAAAGATATTCATGTAGAGCATTACTTAATATACTATCATTAGATACATCACAAAAAGAACTTATAATTTTATTTATATTTAGAGAAATTTTTTTAGACTTTATCCAATCATTTACAATATCTAATACATTATAATAGTACATACAAAATTCCAACGAATCTAGCATAGTTATTCTATGAGAAATCACACAAGTATCGAGTTTTAACAGTTCTTCCACATCATGAAGGAAAAGATCGATGCGCATGTTGTATCTCCCTTTGTTTTTAACAGTACAGAAATATGTTACTAAGGAAAGTTGTTTAGAACTGAAATTTATGATTAAAGTAGAGGTTTGACGTAGAATAAAATTTTTTTTCTATATTTAATTATTCATAAAAATAATTTTTACTGCTATTTTCATTAAAATTTTGACGTAAGAATGGCTGTGTTTCAAACTAAACAGATAAAAATCATAAACTTTAAGAGGCCTTTTAAATATCAGCCGTTATAATACGTCACAGGTTCTAGATTAAGAGAGAAAGTTTCGAGATTATCAGCGGGGTATAAATGCCGAATACGCTGTGATATTTGGTCTTTTCTTTCGTGCTTCTCGTGCCAGTGCGTTGTCTCTGCTGTTATTGCAAGGGCACTAGTAGTGGCGATCGCTTACGCGAACAAAGATAAGGAGCAAACCAAGGTGCGCCGCGATATTGGGAAGCTGCAGACCCTGCGGGCCCACGAACTATTACAGGCAGCCAGTGTTACCATTCCCGAAGAAGGTTGCGGTATCCCTGAACTACAACAGTTTCAACGACATTTAAAAGACTATTGTATCGTCGTGTACCAGCACGGCACCAAAGGGCGTGACGTTGTATTCAAGGGTACCACCGAGGGTCCCTCGTTAAATTTACTTTATCACGAGGGGCACTATAATGTCATCACTTCGCTGACGGCCGCCTTCTGCTGCCATTACTATTGTGAGAGATGTAACATACCGTACGACCACAAAAACAAACACAAGTGTGGAGGTACTTGTCCGGCATGCCAACAGTCGCCCGCATGCCCCGAAGACATCGCTGTCACCTTTTCCGATTGTCAGCGTGGCTTCAGGGGCCAGCAATGCTACGCCAATCATAGGAGCCAGGGATCGATGGGAAAGAGCTCGGTTTGCGAGCAGATTGGTAGATGCCCCGACTGTTTCAAGGTTGTAAAAAGAGGCAGAACCCATACCTGTGGGGAAATATATTGCAAGATCTGCAACACCCACGTCCCCGCAGACCACCTGTGTTACATCCAGCCCGATCACGGGAAGCCGAAGACTACCGACCTTCTCTTTGTCTTCTACGACCTGGAGACCCGACAAGAGAAGACGCAAGAAGATGGCTCTCTTCTTCATGAACCCAATCTCTGCGTAGCTGCCAACAGGTGTGACGCATGTATTGGCGAGAAAAACTTATATTTCTGTCAAAAGTGTGGATATCGCCTAGTCGTGTACACGGAAAACGTTATAGATAATTTTCTAAAGTATGTGCTCGCGGCTAGACAGAAATTCAAGCAGGTGGTGGTCATAGCACACAACGGGCAGGCCTTCGACCACCAGTTCTGTCTGAATTACATTCTCACCAAAACGGACCTCGCCCCGGAACTCATCATGCGGGGTACCAAAATAATTTCAATGGTGGTGGGAAATATTAAGTTCCTAGACAGCCTAAATTATTTCCCCATGGCTCTGTCCAAACTGCCCAAAGCTTTCGGCTTGGGCGATAATTTCAAAAAGGGGTACTTCCCACACCTTTTCAATACTTCAGCCAACTCAAATTACGTAGGACCCCAATCGGCAGCAGAATACTATGATTCTAATAACATGAAGCCGGAAGATCGTTCCAAGTTCCTCGAGTGGTACGAGGAACACAAGGACGACGAGTTTAACATGCAGCGCGACCTCGTCGAATATTGCACATCGGACGTGGAGATCCTGACGGCCGCCTGTCTCAAGTTCCGTCAACAGCTGATGGAAACGGGAAATGTCTGCCCGTACACGGAAGCCTGCACCATAGCCTCTAGCTGCAATAAGGTGTACCGGCGCAACTTTCTCAAGCCAAACATCATCGGCATCATCCCCAAAGGCGGCTACAGGTGGCACGATAGTCAGTCCAAGATAGCCACACAGTGGCTTGTGTGGGAGGAACACCAGCGACAAATAAACATCCAACACGCCGCTAAACAGCAAGAATCTCGAGTCGCAGGTGTAAAAGTCGATGGGTATGCCGCAGAGAGCAGTCAGGTGTTTGAGTTCCACGGCTGCTACTATCACGGCTGCCCCGCGTGTTACAAGCACAATCGAGACATCCCCATGCCTGAAGATCCTTCTCAGACATTAAACACTCGCTACGAAACCACCATAGCAAAAACATCAAGACTTCGAGGCCTTGGTTACGAGGTCGTCGAGATGTGGGAATGTGAGTTTAGGCGTAACCTTCAGAAGAACGACGAAGTCCGCAACTATAGCGAAAACCACCCACTCGTAACCCTAACACCTCTAAACCCTAGAGATGCTTTCTACGGAGGCCGCACAGGGAATACAGTCGAATACTACAAGTGCGGCCCAGGGGAGAAAATCAAATACGTCGATGTCTGCTCCCTCTACCCCTGGGTCTGCAAGTACGGCAAGTTCCCCATAGGACATCCAAAAGTTTATGTGGGTGAGGAATGCCCTACAGATCTGAGCATTATTGACGGGGTAATTAAATGTAAAATCCTCCCGCCCCAGAATCTCTACCACCCCGTGCTCCCTACCAAGATGAACAATAAGCTGCTATTTGTTCTCTGTCGCACCTGCGGAGAACAAATGAATAAAGGCGAGTGCCAGCATAGCGACAAAGAACGAGCTCTGACAGGGACATGGATTGTCGACGAGGTACTTAAAGCCGTTGAAAAAGGTTATCGTCTGTTGGAGATCCGCGAGATATGGTCTTATCAAATAGATCAATACGATAAGGTTGCAAAGACTGGAGGTCTCTTCACCAGTATGATGAACAAGTTCGTCAAGGTAAAACAGCAGGCGTCCGGCTGGCCCACCCATTGTACCACAGACGAGGAGAAGGAGCGTTACATCGAGCAATTCCTCGAGAGGGAAGATGTTAAGCTCGAGTTTGCGGAGATCTTGGAGAACCCTGGGCTACGGTCTCTCGCAAAACTCATCTTGAACAGCTTTTGGGGAAAACTGGGGCAGAGGGAGAACCAGCCCAAAACATCCATCGTAAGAAACCCCGCAGAATTCTTCGGTATGCTCACCAACCCCAGCATCTACGTTAACTCGGCGCTCCCTATCAACGAAGACACTCTCATCGTCAATTGGGAGCACAAGGAGGAGGCCTACGACCCACTCACCACCGTAAATGTCGTCATCGCCGCTTATGTTACCACTCAAGCCCGTCTTAAGCTGTACAGTTACCTGGAGCAGCTGGGCGACAGGGTCCTGTATTACGATACGGACTCTGTCATTTACATGGCCAAAGATGGAGAATACGACGTACCAACGGGTGACATGACGGACGAACTGGAAGAATGCGGACCCGGGAGCTATATCACAGAATTTGTAAGCGGAGGGACCAAGAACTACGCATACAAGGTTTTCTCCACCAGTGATAACGAAGAGAAGGTGGTGTGTAAAGTTAAGGGTATATCCCTTAACTACACCGCATCACAGCTGATAAATTTCAACGCCATAAAGACCATGGTGTTGGACACTTCCACCACCACCAGCCCGGTATGCGTAGCCTCAAGAAACATCCTGAGAACAAAGGAGCACGAGGTGATAACCGTAGAGCAAACCAAGCTGTATAAACCTCTCTCCGTCAAGAGGCGGTTTTTGGATGACCACAGCTCTGTGCCCTACGGATAGAAAAGACCCAGACATGAATAATTATCAGTCTGTTATCTATATAAGTACCAACTTGTCTGTAACATTCTGTATATATATTTACTAGTATTCTAATTTATATAAAAAATTAATTTTATCGCTGCTTTTTAATTTTCCTCGTAATTGTGTGTGTGTGTTTGAGATACTAATAGTAGAGAGTTGAAAAACATTTCTCAATCAAATTAAATCAATCACGTCTTTCAAGTTAATTATTGCAAAGGTAGGAATACAAAAAGAGTAACATAATTAGATTTTATTAAGGATATCTGTACATAACATTACAATATATTTCACCGTAATTTTTACATTTGCATTTTTTAAATAAATTCTCAGATGCTTCGTTATTGCAAAATGCTGAAAACTGTTCACGTTCTTTCACATGGCCTACAAGGGCTGCAGCGTGTCCTTTTCTGCGATGGCCCTCTAACGTATATATGTAGTTGAACGTTTTTGGATTTGAATGTTTGTTGAAGGGGTCATAGTCCATTTTAGACAGCAAGGCAAACGATACGGGTTTTTCGTCTTCATAGCGTATATAACACGAAGGCTGCTTATCCAAGTACCACTGATTAATTAACACATCGTCGCGAATATTTAGCTTCTTTATCACTCTCAAAGCTTTTGCTCTAAAGTAGAACGTTGTTTTCATTTTTGCGACTTGTCACTACCAAGAACAAGACATGAATGAGACGCTTGCTCAAGGTATTCTTATTGTGGTGGGGGTGGGGTAAAGAATTAAACAACGCGTATTTTAATCTATTTCTAGCATTATATTTACATCATTAATGAAAATTTCAATGGGAGCATTTACAAGCTTAAAATCGTTGTATTTACATGAAATATACGGTATCTCATCCTTGATGTGGTTAAAGAGGTTGATACTGTTGGGGTTATAATTTAAATCTGCTACGACTCTAGCCTTTGGGCGCTTATTCTGTAACCTCTTCAAAGATTGCGGGAAACGTCTGAGTTCTAATGATATAGTATGGATACTCGTGTGGTTGATTTTTCTGTATTATAGCAAACATATGGCGTTTGTTCGGGTTAATGACCTTTGGACTTATATCTTCAACGTAATTTTAAGCTTCTCATTCCGTGTTCCCAAATCTTGTAACTTGACCATCAGGCTTCTTATCAGACCTTCATTATCGTGTTGGTACTTGACTTTGAATTCGTTTACGAAATATTCTTCAATTATTTTACTGCATTTCATGTAGAATTCCGGAGATGCACAGCAAGCAATATCCAGGAACAACTCTTCTCGCACATACGTCCCGGAAATAATCGTATTGTATACGGGGTTCTTATTACCCGATACTATTTGCAAGGGATAATAGTCCCCATCACTTTCTGATGCATAATATCGCACCATCCTGACAGAGCTTTGTAGTGTTAAAGTAGCTGTCGACGATAATCTTCGATATAATAGCCTAAATCATTTACAAGTTTGTAGGAATCATCTCCGCTCCTTCTTTCTAACATATCTTTGCTGCTCTCACAATCTGATTCTAATTGTTCATCATCATTATCCATGTTTAACGTTTCATAATAGTCGCGAGGTCTGTATATATATTTTCTATTGCAGGTATTGGTCTCGTCTTTCATAGTCTTTTCGCTGCTTTCTCCATATGGTAGTGTTTGTCGTATGAATGGTCTTTATCTTTCCTTGTAAAACTGTCGTTGCACAAATTACACTCTAAATTTTTCTCTTTAAGCTTTTTTCGTATGACGACTTAAACTGCTGCGTTCTACGGCCTGGATCCTGTTTTCTATAAACCTGTTTTCTACAGCCTGGAACCTGTTTTTTACTGCTACAGACCTGTTTTTTACAGCCTGCAACCTCTTTTTTACTGTTACAGACCTGTTTTTTACTGCTACATACCTGTTTTTTACAGCCTGCAACCTGTTTTTTACTGCTACAGATCTGTTTTCGATAACCTGGAACCTGTTTTTTACCGAACGGCTAACAAAGGTTTAGCTTTGTAGCTGTCAGGATTTCTATTTTATTTTTTTTAATTTTTTTATTTTTTATCCATCACGCTGAGGATGATGTTTGAAGATAACAACAAGGCTATCACTAAGATGATAATGTCTGAAGATAACAACAAGGTGACGATTGCGTAGGCGCGTCTGAAGACGTATCAGCTCAATGTCTGAAGACGACAATACTTAACGTAAAGCTTAGCTAAGATGATAATGATGGGATGTGACAACACACTGAAGGCGTAACAGCTCGGCCATCTAAAGACAAATGAAAGGATGCAATCGCCTGGAAATGATTGGTAAGTTACTGAATTATTTCCATATCATGTAGCTTGTTGATAATGTCACTATAGAGGTGATGTTCTTTAGTCAAACGACACTCTTCGATATAATAGCGTAAATCATTTACAAGTTTGTCGCGGGATCGTCTCCGCTCTCTCTTTCTAACATATCTTTGCTGCTCTCACAATCTGTCAATAGATAATCGTCAACACCACACACATACTTCTTCTTACTTACTTACTTACTTACTTCTTTTTTTAAATATCCTTCTAATTATTATTAAAATTTTCAGGTAGTTCCAGAGAACCCGTGTTGAACGTACAGGAGGCTGAATACGACGAGGTCAGGTATGTGTACTTCTATAATCAGAGTTTTGGGTTTCATGTAATCTGCCCTATTTAGCTCAATAGCTACTAAATTCTAACGTCTACCTTTGTATCAGCTGAAATGGTTGTTTATACTTATTCAGTTTGATACAACTGTAGTTTCTTTTTGCTTCCATCCTCAGAAACATCGTATCTCCCCAAGGGGTCGAGGTTGTTCGTAGAGGTGGTTTCCCATTTATTCAATTCCACCTTCTCAGCTAATAGTGTCTGTCGTCTGTTGAAAGATTTCATACTTGCATTATATTCAATTAATTTCACGCTCGTCGTTATGGTCTTGTTTATACAAAATAATCCTCCGTCGTTTTTCTTTTTTAAATTCTCTATGTAGTTTTGAAGCTCATTTTGATTTATTATTTAATATTAGATTTGTGAAGCTTACGAACAGTTATCCTAATTCTTTCAATTTTTACAAATTTATAAATAATATTTTTCCTGAACCGTACTTTTAATCTAAGTCGGTTATAGCATTTTAAAATTTCTTTCCTTCCTTAAATACAAAATTGATCTGGTGGCTTTTATAATATCTTTTTACGTAACAGCCATCGTCTTCCTTGCTTTTTTTAGCAGCGTGTTGAATGTTTATTTCTAAACTAATAATTTTTCGTAAAGCAAAACCGCTGTGGTCAGTTGGTAACTGTTGAAAATGGCAAGAAGGGCTCATGTTTGGATCTCATGATCACAGTACTCATTTTTATCTATTAAATGTTGCTTACATTTGAAGATGTAAGCCCTCATTGGAATCGACGTACAGAGACTTTTTATTTTGTTATGTTATAGGGCACGAAAAATCTTTATTACGTGCAATAGGTACGTGTAATAGGTACTTGGTAGCCACATAAAATATTGTCTTCACATACCAACTTATTGTTGTCGAACAGCAGGTTGTACTGGTCTAACTCTTCACTATACTCTCCGGCGTCTTAGCCAAGCTTTCCGTTAAGTATTTGCGTTGTGGGCTCTCAAACCATTCATTCACTTTAAAATGCTTCAAGACGTACTTAACGTACATAAACATTAACTGATGCCCCGTTTTGCTTCTCTTTTTCTTTTAGTATTAAGATATCTAAAAACAGTCACGACCTTCTCTACGATAGGATTGAGCATTAATAAATTTTCTACAAAAGTCTGTATTTTACAAACGATTTAAGAAGCCTAGTTGTCTATTTTTGAATAGGATGAATACCTATATACTTTTATATATTAATAACTATGACTATGATCTCTCTCTATGTCCCGACCCTACATGTTCGCTATTCGGTTTTCCTGCTTGAATATCAGGTAATAGTCTGCTTTGTATGTCTGTTTATAAAAGTTCCTAATTGTGTAACAACAACCTACATATAAACTACAAATGGTACATGTTCTTTACATTTCTTCTTCTTGATGCCATGTGTTTTTGAAGCATATGTTCACTCTCCCTACCCAATGCGAAGATTCTGGTATTAATCCTACATCTATAATCCATCATCGAGGGTATATAGCCTCTATGAGATTGTAGTAGCCAATTCCTTACATTATTTAGCCTCTGAGATTGTGGTAACCAACCCCTTTGGAGTAGAGGCTAAATGTTTTTTAGGCATTCATGTCTCTGTCGCCCTATTTTGCCAACACCTTATCTTCCAAAAGTTGACCATGTAATTACTCGCTTCCGTTTCTTCTAAAGCGGTAATGCTTTCCTGGGGAAAATGATCTGTTTCTTTAATAATTTTGTTTGGGTTTTCGAAAGCATTGAAACTGACCCATTTTAATATGTAACAAATACTATCGATTCCGAGTCGTAGAAAGCCGTTGTTGTTACCTGAATTAAAATCTTTACACCCGTAATACTTATAATTAGTACACATACTGAGATTTTTTTTCATTTCGTGCCTCTCCTCTAGGTACCTACATCTTCCGGACATTCTTCAGGCCACTTCAGAAGCAGCAATAGTCTACAGGACGTTCTTGAAAAAGCAACGGTGAAGCGACCACTCGTACAAGTACATTTGTTCAATGATTTGTGAATTTGTGAGTAATATCCCATACCTACTCGTTTAAGCTGTGGTTCCTTCGAAGTGTGCCTTGTAAGTTTGTATGGGGTCTTGCCTACACACCCTGTAGTTGGGATGCTTACTAGTTGGCGTTGACTCATTTCAGGTGGCACTAGCTAGTTGCTGAAGAATAAATGATACATATTTACTAATTAATACAGGGTGATCGAGAATGATTGACCGTGCCGCCTCATACTGATTTTTGATGTGCGGCATACCAGTTTTTGATACCAATACTAGAATCATGAGCGTAGGTTGAGGGATTTTAATGCTAAACAAATAATTACGTTCAAACGTCAAA